TATTAAAACAGCTATTTGTATTTTAAATAGAAATATGTTTACATGTTTTTGCTATTGTATTGTTTTGTTGAAGTTAAAACACAAATTTCCAACAAATAAATAAAATTAGTATGAGGAAAATGAATCGTTAAGGCCAGTCTGAATATTCCTCTCTGTTCAGGTACCGGCAACAAAAGGGGTAGATGTAATTAAACATGAAGGTTATGTTTCAGGAGTCTTAATATCTCTAGAAAATTGGCAGTATTGATATTTACTAAGCAAGTAAGAGATGTTTATGTACACATTGATATTTTTTAAAAAAATATAAAGTGCTTCACAATTAAATGCAACAGAATAAAAAGAGTAAAATAAAAATATACAAAACACATTACAGACATAAAAGATGAAATAAAAGAGATAAAAACAAAAGAAAAAATGAGCTTGTCTGAATAAAAATGTCTTCAGTTACTTTTTAAGAAGTTTGACAATGTTGATGCGTCGCAAAAAAAAAAGAGGAATTCATTCCCCAGCTGAAGGGTGGCTGCTTGAGAAGCAMCATCTGGTTTTAAACTGAGTTCCCTGTAAGAAGAGGGTTTGAGATACACCGTATACTCAGGAGCATGACTGTGACCGTCCCTGAAAGTCAACTCAGGGCTTTTAAAACAAAATCTAAAATGAACCAGTAACAAGTGAAGAGACACTAAAACAGGAGTTGTGTGAGTTCTTCTGTTTGATGAATTTAAAAGGTTGAGCAGCTGAAGACAGAGTTTTTAAATGTGCATATTTAAATGACAGTAATCTAAAACAGAGGACTTAAAACATTTTTACAATTTTACAATAATCTTTCATTCTGGTGTGTTAAGAGCAACATAGAATTAAATTTATTCATTTTTTCCCAGTGTTCTCTTATTCTAAAGTCACATAATTTGATTATTTTTTCAATTGTGATCAAATATATCTAAGAAATGATACATGAAAAAGTTGTTGGTAGAGAGTATGGCATAAAAAAGGCATGCTAAAGATGTCTTTCTAAAACAATTCTGTATTTGTTATGTTTTTGTTGCATTATGTTAGCTCGCGTTAYATTGCATAACATTACGTAACATTGTGTTACATTACATTACGTTTTTTTCTAAATTTTACAAAATATAATTTGGAAAAAGTCATTTGTATTTCTATAGAAATATTTATTTATTTGTTTGTTTGTTTGTTTGTTTGTTTGTTTGTTTGTTTGTTTGTTTATTTTAATAAATATTGACAGAGATGGATCCTTGACTTGGACCAAGTTTTAAATCTGTCCCCCTTGCATAACTGAGTTTGATACTCTTATCATTAATGTTGGAATAAGACAAAAAGTATTTGTTGGTMGTGTTGAGGACGGTGTGAGTAGTTAAATTGGTCTCAACAGTTGTGACTGTGTGTAAAAAGCTTTCTGACTACAGTGTATCCAGCCACAGATAGCACTGCTAGCGACTGGCACTGTGATGCTAATAGCATCTGATTTGTTTTGATTAAACGTGCTACATTCCTCTAAGTCTTKCTCTATCTTGTACGACCACTTTTATGATTTCGCACAAACAGAAGGGCTCCTGTGCCACATGAGTATGCATTTGTTTTGTATTTCACACGGTGTGAGCGACAGCAGGTCTCAGTTGAAATGTTCAGTCAGTGAGGCTGAGTGCAAAGGGTTGTTGGGGTGTGTGTGTTTTGTCTGCGTCTGTGAATGCTTATGCTATGTAAGCAAATACAACCAGACCTTTGCCATCTTTTCCTCCCTGGTGTGCCATTTGTCTACCAATGAGCTAGTGGGGTTTCTTTCATCTCTAGGATAAGTACTAGGACAGCACATGACTACAACACATTGGGGGAAAAAATGCTTCTTTATATCTAAATCCTTCTGAAACATGTTGGCAGGATTTAGTTAAGAGCTCATCTGCTGCTGGACATTTTCAAACTGAGGTGACTGAAAGTCTGCATGAACTACCTTTTTTTTTTCTGAAAGGGAAGTATGGCCCCAGGTGTCATGTCAGCTGTAATTTCTCTGGCCAGTCAATCAGTGCGAGCTGTATAACAAGGTRTAACAAGAAAAACAGGCTGGCTGTGAAGCGGAGGTCGCATGGGTTTGAAAGCACAGTCAGTCTCAGCGTCACAGCTCAGACACACACTCCCACATGGGTACTTCTTCAGATCTGATATAAAATCCTCACACTTGGGGTAATTCTSTTCCATTATTCTGCTATCTCACAGAGGGACACATGTTATCAACACATCCATTGCTTCGTTGTCATCGTAATGATAATACTTGGGTGTCTTTTGTGTTTGAATGAAGTATTTTTTTTTCTGCAAAGAACTAAACCAAAATGACRCCTTGCATTTCTATACAGTTATCTCAATCTTTTACAATTATGGGCCCATTCAAACAAATCTGCTCTGATCTATGAATAGGGGAACAAATAATGATGCTGCACTTCAATGGAAAAATTCAGCCCTTTTGAAGTGTCCTTCTGTGGAAAGGTTATGAACAATTAACATCTCACCTGCTCTATAGAGCTAGCCTGAGTGAGGCCAAGATCAATGTGGATTAACAGGTTATTAACGGATTATTCTTAAAACAATTTAAATGTATGTTATCAGTTCATGCGAGTGCTGGTTTAATAATTGTAATTTCATATTACATGGTCATTACAGGCACAAAAATTGTGATTTTACTGCTGGGAATTCCCTATTCTGCACTGGAGGTGTTACAGCTAGCTGCTGCTGCTATTTGTGTTTGTGAATAACCATGTGAATTCATACAAATGTTTATTTGACTGCTAAGTAAAGATGGACTGCTATGAGATTTTTGGGTTTGGAGTTGTTTTAAGACAAAAAATCAGAATACCCCCTTTAAGATGTATTTTTTATTTTTTTTCCTAAAATTTTGGTTTGTAGTTTTGGACATGGCACATGGCAGTCATTGCTCCCACTGGACAGAAATGACAGAGGTGGGACAGAGCACAGACCCAGAAAGAAAGATGGACCAATGGGGGAAACAAATTTAGGTCCATTTAAAGCAAACCAAATGTGTCAGTTGTAAATACACCCTTAGAATGCTAAAACAAAATTATGATCTCTAATGTTTCGTGTTCAGTCTTCAGGCTAAAATAAAAAGATGTTCAGTAACATACAGTTTGTTGTTGTACTGGTGAAATACTAAATTCTTTGGAATAAAGTTTTATATTTAAAAGTGACATCTGAAATGTTGGATTAAAATAAAAATAATAAAAATAATAAAATGATAATTTTCTTAAATCCATCAGGAGTCTCCGTATGTGATGACGAAGAAAAACCACGAGCAGCTCGTTGGGAACGATAAGTATGAAGGCTACATTGTTGAGTTGGCTGCAGAGATAGCCAAACATGTGGGCTACCAGTACACACTGAAAATCGTGTCCGACGGAAAATATGGAGCCAGAGACCCTGAAACCAAGAGGTGGAACGGCATGGTTGGTGAACTGGTGTATGGGGTAAGTAAAGAGAACACTATTAGTATCTCGCAAAACAAAAATAAAAGGACTAATGCCAGTTTTCACTTAGAATCTTCCCGGGCTAATTTAGAAGATTAATCATATCTGGAAAAAAAATTAGCATTTGGGCTGCAATTTTGCTTCTTTGATTGCCAAACCTTTTCATTTTTCGCACTTT